AAGGAAACAGTATAAACAGACATTTCTCTCATTTCTCTCCTCTGTCACAGAGACAGACTGGTTCTGCACTGGCATACGAGTTACATACATCATTATCTCATATTCCTTGACAATCTGAAACATTTCTGTGTTAACAAGCCCAGAGTTATCACTCCAGGACCTTCTGTATTCCTGTTTTCTCCTGCCATGATCCCTGCAGACAGGCATAGCCAGCACCTGAACAGTGACTGCAGCCCTCCTGCACCACAGCGGGAAGCAGCTACACCTGCTAGAACTGAGTGCAGAAAGCCTGGGGCCTGATCTAAGAGATTTAAGCTTCTTCTCAAGTGTGAGTACTGACAGAGCAACTCTTTTGTATGTGACTCTATGGGGCATTCAGAAGGAGAAGTCCTGCCAAGTTACACAAGAGATTTGACAGCTTGTAGGTAGTAAATATCCAGCTTTAACAGTACTCATTCATGTGCTTTCTGCACTTGAATAGTCCTGCTGTTTTCAGTGGAGCCACTTGTATAAATAAGTGCTCTGCAAAATGAGAAGGGGTTGTATGCCCTTTTTTTTATTTTCATTTGCATCATTTGTTTAATTAAAGTACAATTTACAGTAAAAATTGTATTTTAATGGCACATGGAGTATCAGAAAGTAACCTGTAGGAGTCATTTTGCCTCATAGATGAAACATAAGGGAAGTTTATTAATAATTTTATGTGTGACTCACTTCAATGTTTAAGAAAAATGTGCTCTCTAAAATTAAAGAGGCCTGTTAAAATAAAACCAAAGGGAGGCTGTGTTTTTTGCATAATAATAATTTACAAAAACTAGTTCACTGTGAAGCCTTACAAGTTCAGAAAGACTAGATACAGAAGTCTGTCCATAGGCATCACAATCGCAGCTTTTTGAAATGTTGGAATGGTTAAGTTAAATTTAAAAATTATTTAAGGTTTGATGTTTCCTGAAAGACAGGACAGACCAGAAATATTTGCTCATAAATATCTTCAGATTGTGTTCTGGCTTCAGATTGAGTCTCAAGAACATCTGCAATGCCACAAGGAATCTTTTTATTAGTAGCTTTGAAAACAGGCAGTGTGTTTCCTAAAATTAATATATCTTCTTACAAAGCATCCAGTTCTGTTTCACGCTTGTAAAAATAAGGCTAAATGAATCTGCTGTATCTGAGGCCGAAGAAATTTTTAGCTGTTCAATGTTCCCTTTCTTTAATCTCTTCAACATTTTTTGAGTCATAGAATGAAGCAAGAAGTTGTGTGTTAATATAGGAAGCCAGCCATATCTTTATTAATCCATGAGTTAAAACAGTTTCATGAATATCTAATGTCCATTCCAAAAGAGACAAACAACAAAATGTGTTGAGGTTTCCATACAGGGCATATATTTGAGTTGAAACTCAATATGAAATTTTCATAATTGTATTATGGGTCCATGGAGAAATTCAGTCAGAACTAGTGAGTTTTTACAATGGATGCTGTACATATGTGATCTGTAAATTTCTCAGTCCTGTATGAATAAGGAAAGAAGGAAATATGAATATTAAATTTCTTAATGTAAACTTAGAAAAAACATGTCTTCATGTTACAAAACATATTTCTGAGCAGCACTGAAGAGCTGGTCTGTTGGGCAGCCTTTGCAAGTTACTTGACATCTGGTTCCCACATATTTCATGGTATCCTTGTCTGGGATTATCCCAGTAAAAAAACACTTGTACTGTAGCTTGTGTACTGTAACAGCTTGTAGGCTGTATACAAATTATTTCCTTCTGATAAACCACAGTTAGTTCTATTAGTTGTAATTATTTTAGTTTTCTGATTGTTGAGTTTTTTGTCCTCACTGGGCTAATGCTATATTGGATGTGAATTTGCATATCTTGTTTTGCATACTGCATTTGCATTAGGTTATTTGTCTCCATTTAAAATACATGCCCACAATTCTTACTGCTCAGCATTTCTGTTCAAAAATTTTACAAGGTAGCAGATGTACTACAGATCTGGGAAGAGCTGATCAAAGCATGACACATTCCCATCCAGAGCACAGTGAGTAGCAGGCAGTCATTCACCAGCTATTGGGTAGCTGGTAAAATATTCACCAACTAATTTATAAACCAGGGCAGTTGCCATGGTTATCTGAAATATGCCAGTACTTTTCCCCAGTCCATCATTCACTTCTTACAGAAGTATGTGTATCTCCACTGTAACGTGCTTTTCTGGGAGGAGGTAAAGAAAGTAGCTGTATTAATGGTTTTTTTTTTTTTTCCACATGTAAGATTAAATATTCTTTGCCCTTTTTTTCAAGCAGCTGTTTAGAAGACTGAAACAGATGCTTTCTTATACTTATGAGGGTATTTTTTTTGCTGTTGGTTTTTTGACAGGTAAGGAATGGAAAAATAATGTGATCTACTAATTGCATGCCTGCTTCCTTCAGACTATTTTTTCTGAAAAATAATGATCTGATACTTCCAGGTATTTGCAAGGACAAAAAGAAAGCATTACAAAAGGAAAAGTGCAGCTCATTTTGTATTGTCCACTGTGTAGCTTTGGAATTAAAAAACCCTGGAATATAGAATTATAGAGGGGCTTTTTGTTTATTTGTTTTAATAGCAGCACTTTACAGAACACTTGATGTGAAGACGAAAATTCATACAAAAATAGGAATGATCTCTTAGGTTTACCTGTTATAATACTAAACTACCACTACCCAGAAGAAAAAAACAAAGCTGTTTTAATCTCCTTAAGAAAGTAAAGCAAGCACTTACTATTGGCACTGACCACCAGCAGCCCTACCGAAGGGATGCTGTAGTGCTGTTCTTAACACTGGTGTCAGAGTGGCACCTGCTGGGAGTTCCCCTTCATCCTTCAGCTCTACACAGTCACAAAACTTCTGGGATGAAACTCCGGCCTACTGGGACAAGCTAGGCACAGACTGCTGGGTATTTATTGGACACTAATTCACTCCAGTTTTTTAATCATTATTATAATTATAGAGTAGTTGCATTACTGAAATAAAAGGCAACAGAATTTCTTATAAGTAAAGATGGTAAAGGGAGGTCTGCTATTTTCAGTTCTCTTCCCTGAGATCTTACCTGTGACATTAAAATGACCCCATCTTACTTGGGCTTCATTTGCCCTAAAAGTACTTTCCTAATGTCAGAGAATGAATTCACCTCTCCAGACAGTGTGTTTTGATTCAAAGACTTTTATGAACTCCACATCAAAGTAGTGAATAAGCCACAAAAGTTTTAGTAGTTATGTGAAAAAAACATCATGTAGGGAAAAAGACTACTCCTGAGGTTACGTTTCAAAAAGATCTTAGCAAAAGAGAGGACTCAGAAGCACTATAATCAACTGCAAACCAATGCTTTCTAAGATGACTCTCAACAGTGTAATGAATGCAGAGACTTGTGACACATACAAGATATAAATATACTAATCATAATATAATTATCAATTCCTGAATAGAAGGGCAACCAACAGTAGCATACATGTGTTTCATAGCACTGTGAGGACATAATTTTTGACACAATTTTTATAAGTATATTAAGGAATGTGATCACCAAAGGGTCAAAGTAGAAGACACCCGAGCACCAAAACCTGGCATACCTGAACTTGATTAGAAAAACTGACTGCAAATAGACAGACAGGTTATCATTCAAAGATGGAAGATGGGCAAGAAAAAGAAAAATAATATGCAAATGGTGTTGGTGAGGAGTGCAACAGAATAAAACCATGTGACATAAACATGGGAAAGTGAAGGAGTAAGACAGCTCACTTAGATTTTGAAAGTGTCCTTCAGGAGTTCTCAAGTCAGACTTTGACAATTGAGAACCATCAGATACTGTAAACACCATCATAATTTTCAGCATCAGCTTTGGGGTAATGTGCATTTAGAACCAATTTTAAACTGATTGTTAAAGACCAACTTTTGTAAGCAAACTGATGAGATTAATATTATGCAAGATTTAACCATTAACATGAAGTAAAATATTCATTTTTAATTCAGTAATGTTAAATTTTATAGCATAAAACTGACCTAATTTGGCAATCTTCTGAACTCTCCCATCACAGACATCTCTGATTCTCTTAGTGACAGAAATGCTTTTAGCTGCAACAACTTAGTCACTAGGAAGTGGTCCTTGCATATATTAAAGCCAGCTCAAAGGGAGGTAGACTAAATCTTGTGAGAAGAAACTTAGCAGTGGAGGAGGGAGAGGAGGAGGTGCTGAAGTTTACTCCTGTGCCACATGAGTGCACCATGCAAATCAAGGCAGCTCTGTGGCACCATTTACTAACACTGCATCTTGTTTAGTAAAAGGGTGACACCAACTGAACTTCTTTGATGCTGTTTTTGATATGGAAGCAAGGCACTTGGCAGTAGTGTGATAAAACACAGACAAGTTCTTTAAGGAATTTGTTCTGGAGGCAAAGAAGAATAACAAATAAGAATGCACTTCAAGAAAAAGCAGTAAAAATGACAGCACTTGCACACAGTCGACTACTGAACAAGAGCAAGTAGAACTGAGCCTTAGTCAATAATCTCTGGGGGTAATGCTCATGTGATGTGGACAAATACACATTTCTTTACATTTACATCACAGTTTCTTTCTGTGTTCCCATGCTATTACCCAGGAAAATCTATTAATTTAGAGGTAATTAATCTTACTATCAAAAAATTATAGATGAGCAAAAACTACCTAGCAGAATATATACTCCTGTTCACCCATAACATAATACAGTACAAAACCAATACCTAGTCATTTGGAAAAAGCTGTCAGTCGCCCAGCACTACTATTCTAAGGCATTTATTGATTCAGGCTTATCTCATGAGAAGATTATTAAATCTTCCTAGTGCACCCATTCTTCTACTCTGTATAAATGATAAATCTTCACTATATTGCTCAGTTTTTTTCTTTGAAACCTGAGTGCAATTATACATTACTGTCCTTGTACTAAATATTCTTAGTTCTTTAGATTATTTCATGGGCTGCATCAATCCTACCTAACATTGTCATGCCTTTGAATGTAAATCTTGTGGAAAATCCTTTCAGGAGGCTTCAGGAAGTCTTCCTTCATTTCCATTGCAACATTCCTGGGCAAAAGGCTCATCAAGAGACGTTCCTAAAAGAAAACATAAGCAACATCAGTTTGTAGTGTGTGACCATTTTTCAAAAGTTTTAATCTAGCAAAATGGACAATCTTCTCTTAATCTGCTTCCTTAAAATGTCTGCTACATAAATAATATGAACCATTTCTCTCAAACTTTGCAAACTGTGTGGGTGTCTTTTTTAAAGCTTTCCATACTAAAAAAAAAAAAAAATTAAAAAACCACAGCAACAACAAAAAAACTCAAACCCAACAACAAACCAGAAAAAACAAACTGAAAAAGCTAGCTTCAAGAGCATATAATTGTCCATATTTTTGATTAATATTACAGTTCTAATAACAGCAACTTACTTTATTCTTAGCAGCATTTATCTGTCTGAGAAAGACTTCCCAGGATCATTTGCTGTTCTTTTGTGTGTTCTATTTCTTCCTGGATATAATGAAAGTATTACATTACAAGGACTATGACAACTGGTTATTAAGCAGTGAGAGTGGATGATGGATTTATCTACTGTCAAATTCAGTGGAACAGTAAGCACAGTTTTAATGGCATCTTAGCGAGTGTGGCAATGTCTTTAATGAACTACACCAGTACAAATTCCTGGCTAAACACGTCTTCTTGCTATACTCACAGAGAAATTTTTAGCATGGGTCACTGACCTGCATAAAAAGAGTCTCTAATATTATGAATCTTGTCAGTATTGACTATAAAGGCCCATGTAGTTTTTCCACATATTCTGGCCCATTCTCAGGTACCATCTGGAAAATCTGCAGCTATTCTTAGGTGCTGTAAGGTGTCCTTAGATAACTACTCAAGTTGTGTTTTCACCCAGAAAATGCTTGCCTTTTAAAATGCATTTCTAAGTTTATCCATCAGACCTGCTAGTTTCAGCCATGGAAACAGTCTGAACAAATTCACATAACCACATCTGATCTGATTCAGGAATCTCATGTTCCGGACAACAATGGATGAGGCTAGGAGCAAGGAAGGTGTACCCTCAGTGGAAGAGAATTTGGTCAGGGGATAATTAAGCAAACTGGATGGATGTGACTCCATGGGCCCTGACAGGACACATTCACAAGCTCACTGAGTGAGCTGTCAGATGCTGCTGTAAGGACACTCCTAAAAGTCAAACATGGTGACTGGGAGAAGTGGTGCAAGACTGCAGAAAGAAAATGTCACTTCTCTAGCCAAGAAGGGCAAAAAGGAGGACACAGGGAACTGCAGGCCAGTCAATTTCATCTTGGGTCCTGAAAGTGATGAAGGATCACATCCTCGAAACCACGGTGGGTAAACCAGATGACTTCCAGAGCCCTTCCTGTCTCAACTATTCTGTGATTCTGTTATCTGACAATCAAGACCCACTGTAATGGCATCTGCAAGATGTCACAGAAGTGTAAATTTTGGCCCAACCTCATTGTCCTTTTCTTTAATCAATTTTAAATAAATAAAGACCAAAAATTAACACTGAGAAGAGGGTATCTGCAAGTGCTGTTATGTTGCTAACATGCACACATTCACCAGATAAAGCCATTAAATAAAAAAGGATTTTTTATCTTAACATTTTCTTCTGGAAGACACATTGAAAGAAGTAATAAGTTAAATTTTTCAGAACTGCCCTGGTGAACTTTAGACTAAAGTTCTGTCATGTGTTTGTGGTGGTCACATTGTCTTGAGGCTAAGGATTGTTAGCTAACTTCTTATATATATGTAGCAGAACATTCCCTCCTGCTACAGAAGGGCTTATCTTCTATGTCCATCAGCTGGTGCATAGCTCCGGACATTCTCCCTCTCACAAGGATTGTTGAGATAACCCACGCTGAACAGATGCTGAGCAGTGAGTTATCTCTGGCACCAGAGAGGTGAGATCCCCAGTTGACAATAAATATCTCACCTTGAAAGAAAGACGTGGATAAGCTAGGAATTCCTGAATGTGAGACACATTACTTTACTAACTATAAAAGCTATACAAATTATCATGGAGGTAGAAGTGTCTTATACACACCCTGAAAATGTGCAGGACTTCTCCCACAAGCTTGGATGCAAGTTCTGCAGTTACTTTCCTGGGAATTGAGAGGAAAGATCCTATGTGTGCCCCGTCAGCAATCAGATGGTAAGCTACATGGAGTCCTAATCTATACTATTTCTTCACTAGCTGTAATAACAGGTACCTCAGTTGTGCACTGTCTGTTATCTGGTAGTAGTGTTTCTTTTGTTTATCCTGTGTAGTATGTCATCTGCTAAAGTCTTGTGTCTGTTAAATTTGTGTTAATTAAATAAATATTTAATTTTGTAATGGACCTAATTGACCATTTTTAAGAACCTGTGAGTGAGAGTGATCTGGGCTGCAGGCAACCCCCAACAGAGCTACTGTCAGAAATCTGAGTCAAAGGCAGGATTTACCTAAGCTCTCCTCTACATTCATAACGATGTACACCAAGAATATTGCAAAGAACACTATGGACTTCAATATTTGTTGAAGCAATTTCCAATTAACCAAAGTATCTCACATCACTAAAAAAGAGTTATTCACTCTAAATTTTATGTTGATTTAATTAAGTATACTTATATTTTTGCAGCAGAATTGTACTTGGATAACCCAAATTCAGGGTTACAATCCAAAACAAGTATTTTGTCCACAGTGGATCTTACAAAGCTCTGTGACTGCTACTTGTGTCCTAAAGTTGATTTACTGTGTTAAGAGGAATAAACTGGGGGTATAAAAGGAGCTGACGACCTCTCAGGCAATAGAAAACCCATACAAGAGAGGAATTTGGACTGATGGTTAAATTCTCTGATGCTTAAGATGGCAAAAGTAATGCTGGAATTTCATAACTATTGCTCTGGATGAGAAATTTTCAAAGTCTGATAAGGACTAAATGTTTGCTGGAGCTTCCTTTGCAGTGAACATATTAAATAAGATCTTCACTATTTTGCTGAAACAGATTAGTAAATTTCAAAACTGTTAAGGAGAGACTGGGTTTAGACTTCTGTTTCCTAGAAAGTCAAACTTAACCAGACAAACAAGCAGACAAAAATTATAGTGACAGACTCTTCCAGAGAGCAGTGCTAACTGAATAGTTCTCCTATGGCCTGCAAATAATTACAATCCATGAATAAAAAGCTCACAGAAAACGTCTGCAGTTCATGGCAAAAAACATCCAGGGAAGTAATAAGAATCATTACTATGAAGGCAGCATTAGAGAGCTGTAGGATGCAGCACCTGACAGCATTGAAATGTGCAGATGTCAGATGTATTAAGGGAGGCTACAAAAATAATGATTCTTATACACATTAGCTTGACTGTAACAAGAGCTGAAGGGAACATAAGAAAATCCTCTATCAAATTATGATGGCTGGCTTTTTTTCATTAGAGATGAGAGCGAGATAGAGATGAAATTCCTCACCAAGTGAGGGAAGACTCAGTTATGGCTTTCTCAAAGGGAAGCCACTGCTGACCTTTCAGACCAAGAAGGGAAACAGCAGCATGATTGTAAGCAGCATGGCTGTGTGATTTGTCCCTGAAGAGGAGACTGGAAAATGTGAGAAATAACCCTGCAATGAAGAGTATCAAAACACTGAAAGTAAATGAAAGACACCATCCAGCTTTCTACAAAGAATATAAGAAAAGTCTCTCCTATTTACAGCAAAATCTCATCTGTCAAGCAAAGCAGTTTGCCCTTCAGGTCAGCCTAAGGAATGCTGAAGGACTCAAGATTTTTGGAGCAGCAAGAGTGAATTCATGTACACAAAATATAGCTGTTGGTGGGTTTGGGAAAAGGCTCTGCCTAGATCTCTATTCAGCAAGTCCTACAGTTTTTGTCCATTTTTATAATTTACTCCTGTATGGCTGATCTGATTATAAAAATAATCTGGAAACCAAGCTAAAAGGAAAACTAGGTGTGTAAGATAGTGCATTGAATGGAACAAGTGACAAAACCAAGATCACTCACATTTATGGTGACATTCATGGTTGACTGGTTGTTGCCTCCAACAAGGTGTGGGTGATGGCAGTAAAAAATAGAAAGAGTAACACAGGGAGCACTAATCAATTAGCAACAACTTTTACCAAAATAAAACAATACTCATATTGCAAACCTTCTAGTTGGTCACAAATAATTTTGTGTTGAGGTAGTCTCACAAGGTCTAGTAGAAACAAATATTTCTATATTTTATTATTTCTAAATGATTCACAATGTTTTTTCAGGATTATTACAGATGTTTCAGAACATTGAATTTTGGCCACACAACCAACTTACACTATTTTAGGAATTTGTACTCTTTTCTCATGCTGTAAATCTTTACTCAGCATTAAAATGGTCTAAAGTGAAATCACATGCTGAAAAAAAATTACTTTCAGAGACTGTAATTGTCAGTCAATGATTTTCCATTCCCTACAGAAATCTCACTAAGAAAAGAAAATAATAGATGAGGACATACGTCTCCTTCATTCACAACATTTTACATTCCCAGTCCTCTTCTGGGATTTCAAATGCCAAATTTAGCTGCCTCTGCCAATGGTATAATCCTGATTAATAATGATTACTGCTCTGCTAATAAAAAGAGCTATTATTGAAAAGGACAATCAATTTAGAAAAACATCAAATTACTCTCTCCAGCAATGGAGCATCACTAGAAAACAGAGGATGAGCGAGCATTCATTTTGACCCCAAGGAAAGTCAAAATGTGCATACCAAATTGCTCAGTGTTACCTTGGCCCAACCAATAGTACCATTATGCATGTGACAAAGAAGGAAAATATGCCAAGGCAAGATAAATGGATAAGAAAAAAAATGTTTCCCATTGTTAATGGAGAAAAAGACCCTATAATACTGCTTGGAACATCCTCAACTCTATTTACAAGTACATAACCCTGGACTGCAACTTTCTTTTCATGTTGGACCCAAGAAAAAAACTTTAATAGTTATTCAAGACTTGACTAGACAAAGCCACAGTTGACAAGACCCAGTGTCCCTGGCAGTCCTGCTTTGAGGGAATGGTTGGGCTCGATGAC